TATTTGCAACATCTACGATTTTTAATTATATTCCTCTAAGAATGAAGTCTAAAGCAAATTGTTTCTATCTTACTTTAGTCCAGAATATGAACACAACAGAAATTGGAATCTTCATGTTCACAAACAAAAGAGATAGGAATTTTCAAGTTCACAGAAAAAGGTAAAAAACTATTAGCATATTTGAAAACAAAATTGCAAACTACAAATGCAACACCATCGTTAGTCTCATCCCAAGTATTTGGTATCGGCATTACTAATACTAATTTTCCATTTATTCCTATTGTATGAGGAGTTAAATCTACTTTTCAAAATTATTTTAAATAACTTCTACTTGTATTATCATAAGTTTAACACTTTAACATTCTAATCCTCCGATACTAACTTCAACTAATCAGCTAACAGCACATTTTCTATCATTCATCATACACATCCAAAACACTCAAGATTTTATCAATTACATTACCTTTATCAAACATCCTCTAATCATTCCATTGATATAATCACTCCTTAAACAATGAATTATCGTGCATCTAAAAAGTTTACTATTGTTAAAGCATGGAATTAGTTCCATTAAAAGACCAAATCCTCCTACAAAATAAATCTAATCTCTTATAAGACCGACACATACAAAGCCTCTACCTAGCTTTTAAAGAATTGATTGCTCTCGAAAAGCTTACTATTTAATTCAATATATGTGTTTAAATAGGCATTACAATGTTCAACAAATAAACCCAAAAAAACCACCCTCTAATTATACATAACTCACAACACTCCCCACAAGATGGGCAAAAGATATTTACTAAGTCCATCTTGTCACAAAATCTAGCTAACTCCACTGAACTAAGTCCTTTAGTAAGGCAGTTAACCACCTTCTCTTTAGTAGCTACATGACTTAGTTCCAACAATTCGTTATCCAGATTCTCCATGATGAAGAATCTATCAATACCCACATGTTTAGTTCTATCATTGCACTGGGTTGTTAGCAATGCTGATTGTCTTGTCATACCACAACTTCATTTGAGTCCCCTGATCAACTTTGAGTTCAACCAACAAGATTTTCAGCCACATCAACTCAGCAACTCCTAATATTATGGTCTTGTATTATGCCTTTGTTGTTGATCTTGCTATAACTGACTATTTCTTACTCTTCCACAAGACAAAGTTGCCACCTACAAACATAGAGTATCCTAATGTGGATCATATGTCATCAGCAAGGCTTGCACAGTCAGAATCATAAAAGTCCTCAATATTTACATGCACATTCTTCCTGAATCTCAACAATTTCCCTGGTGCAACCTTCATATCTCAGAATTTGATACACTACATCCATATGACCCTTCCTTGAATCATGGATGAAGCTGCTCACCACAGTTACAACAAAAGAGATATCAGGTAGAGCGTGGCACAGATAGATCAGGCGGCCTACTAGCCTCTAGTACATCTCACGATCAATTGATCCATTTTCCTTTGTACTGAGCTTAACCTTCCGATCAATGAAAGAGACTGCTTATTAGCAACCCAGCATGTCTATCTCCATGAAAAGATACAATAATTTTTTTTTTTCTCAGATAGAATCATCCCATCAAATTCATGAGCTACTTCAATTTCAAAAAAAGTATCTCAGTTATCCCAGATTCTTTACCTCAAACTATTTCCCCAATATTCTCTTAAAGTTGAGCAATTTCTGTCTCATTATCACCAGTGATAATTATCTCATCCACATACATAGCAAGTATGATAGTGTGACATTCATGTTGTCAAAAGAATACCGTGTGGTTTGCGTTAATCTGCTGATATCCCATATCAACCATTTACATTCTAGACTTATCAAACCAAACTCGATAAGACTGCTTCAAGCCATACAGTGACTTAATGAGCCCCCACACCTTGCCCACTGTCTAGTATGTACTGAATCCTGATGGTATCTCCGTATACCTCCCCCAGTAGTTCTCCATAATCCACTTGGTGGGGTCTTCATCCACCATTCAATAGCAGAGAAGTCGGTGTCCTCGTCGTGCTCATCTTTACAACAGGTGTTAAGGTTTCATCGTAGTCAATAACATCAGTCTGATTGTATTATTTTGCCATTAGTTTTGTATTACACCTCTCTACCTTCCCTTATAAATTTTGTTTTGTCGTGAAAATCCATTTGCATCTAACTCCCTTATTCTCTATTGATTATGGTACAATCTCTCATGTTCAGTTTTTATCAAAAACTAGAAGCTCTTCATTCATCATCGCTTCCCAATTGAGATCCTCTTTAGCAATCCACCAACATTTTGATATAGAGACAGAGTCCAATGATGCAATGAATGTTCCATGCAAATAGCCAACACTTTGATATAGAGAGTCCAATGATGCAATGAATGTTCCATGCAAATATGAGATTTTAGAATAAGAAAAAAAGTTCGTAATGTCAAGTTCCCACCCAAAACAATTATGAGAATGTCTCGCATTGTTGCGAGAGATCTTCCTTAACGTTGGCAGTTTTGAATCAAAGGTGGATGGTGTAGGTGTCTCAAGGGGTGGGGAAGATCGGGACAAAAGACTTGTTGGCACTGCAGACTTTAATCCCTCAGTTTCTTCTTCCTCTATGTATACACCCTTAGCTCAACTCTAGCCTGAATTCCACCACCTTTGGGTCAATCTCCTCGATTTTTGTCTCTCAGTTCATCATCCCATATCACAAGACATGGCATTGATCCCACTTGCACCACTACTACTCACTCTCTGTTGTCTCATATCTCCAGCATATGTTGAGTCACTGAAAGGAAGAATTCACCTCCAGAGTCTAGTATGATTCAAACTCTCTAAATGACACATTCATACTCGCAAAGAGTTTTCTCAATCGGGTTTTAATAGACATAGCCCTTCTTAAAACAAAATAACTAACGAACATACATTTCATAGTTCTAGGATCTAACTTCCTTACAGATGGTCTGATGTCTTTCACAAAGCAAACACATCCAAATACCATCAATAGAAGGATTTCATTATTGCTTCCTTTCAATATCTGACAAGAAGATTTCCACTCCAACACACTTGAGGGCATCCTGTTAATTAATTGAACGGTTGTCAACATTGTTTGCCCTCATAAATATTGAGGGAGATTCATTATCATCATCATGCTTTGGGCTACCTCTAGAAGATGTTGAACATCTTTGCTACTCCATTCTGTGCTGGAGTGTTTGGGTGTGTGGTATGATGTTGCATCCTTTGAGTTGACAGTAGTCCCCAAATGTTTTGTTGATATTTTATGTCTCATTATTAGTTCTCAATGCCTTCACAAATGCCTCTTATTGGTATGGATTGTTTCGTGGAAATCTTAAAAGCAAGCAACCACCTTACTCTTCTGTTTCATCAAGTATTTCCAGATAAATAACGAGCATTCAAAATATTGAACAGAGTCTTACAGTTGGTACACCTCATTGTATCATTAACAAACATAGGCTGTGTTATACCCCATCAGCGGTCTAAATGCTCTATGCGACAACTAAGTCCATATAGGAACAAAACTCACTAGTGACACTCGTCACATGTCGAGATGAACCAAAATCTATTATCCATTCTAGTGAACTTATGGTGGATAAAGAGGCAAGAGCGTATGTATCACGGGCACCTTTGGTTGAGTAGCATAACTAGCAATGTTTCCCTTAGATAACGATAAGGTGGATGCATCCCGAGTGATATAACATGTCGCTCTCTGTTTTCTCTTTAACATCTCTAGTAACTCATGATCCTAATCGGTAAAGTTTACCGTTGTCTCTCTCACATTCTCCACTACCATCAAACTTGCCCAATAACCCCCTCTTTTACCCCATTGGCCCCCACTATTACAATCACATCCTCTAGAATGGCCATGTCTTCTTGTCTTTCTCCTTGGGTAGATTTACATGTTTTGCTTAGGTGCCCCACTTCTCCGTCGTTGTGACACCTACGGGTCTCCCCCTGAGCATTTTTCCTACCGAACGCGAGGCAGCCAAAGCGGATTGCATTCCTGAAAGTCCACAAGGCTGAACTGGAGCACATGTTTAGGTAATGGCATCCATCGAGACACTAGCTCCCTGTATGAGCTCGACCAATGCTTTCAGAACTTCAGGATCAATCTTCCCCATTCCAATCTTTTAGCTCTCATAATATCTCCATCACCTAACATCCCCCACATAACTATTCTTTACTTTGTATGGTCTGATCTGAAACCCTTGCCAGATTCTATTCCACATGAAGCAGCTTGAACCTCCCTGTTCCTACACATGCAGGAATTTGCACATCTCCTTTGCTTCGTAGCAAATGAAGGAATCGCTTCAAAGCTCTTAGTTGTTGCGATTAGGGCTCACTGGAAAGCAATGATTGAATAGCCAGTTTCCCTTCTCGAAGATATGGGGGCTCCTTCTCCGCTCGGGATCAATCGAATGTGCAAAGACCTTAGAAACTCCTCTCTTCCATTACTGCGCTCGGGAAGAACACCGACTGGACAAGATCGCACGGCGCAAAGGCTTCAAAACTTCCTTCTTCCGCAAAGCTCCCATCTTTCTCATCATCTGCTCTCTCGCACGGGTATGCCACAACCCACAAAGTAGCTAGTGAGGGAAGCAACGCCGATCCCTCACAGCAACGGTTTTGAAGATGAACAGGCCGCCCGTCCTAGTTAGCTTTGATCGCGACTAATTCGTCTTGAAGACGTGATGAAAACGCTGCTCACGATGATCGATGATGCAAGCCGATCAGCCCCAATACAGGCTGTTAGGCTCTGATACTGTAAAGAATTGATTGCTCTTAAAAAACTTGCTATTTCATACATAAGTGTTTAAATAAGTGTTGCAATATTTGACAAATAAACCCAATAAAACCCTTTAATTACACATAACTCACAACAGTTTCCCTCTGATTGGTATAAGAGAAAAATACAACCTCCTAGTTATGTAGAAGGATAACCGTTTTGTTGCAACACAGATAAAAAAAGTCATAAAACACAATGACAATGTTCAATCGTAACTTACCAAGGTGATATGAAGAAAAAATTTGCTTTGCTATCCTTCGTATCAAGGTTGCATCATCCGTAGCAACGGGAAGCTATCAAAATGTAATGAAGTAAAAAATGAAAAGGATTTCTTCCGCTACGGGAAATAAATTTCTAATCTTAGTAATTGGCATGAATTGTATAAGGCATCAATAGCATAGAAAAATAGAAAGGAGAAGATGTATCAATAGGTAGATAATATGGAAGGACAGCATAGACTGATAGACCTGCCATGATATTAAGAAAGATTTACATACAAACCACTCAATTCTTAGGTATTTACATATCTAACATCTAAACTTAAATTTCTACATACATATCACCTTATCTATACATGAAAAGAGGCATTTCACATTTTAGAAGTTAAAATGCTGTTATTTTTTATATGATATGAATGATTTGGATGGTATAAATGTAAAAAAAAATGTTTAGGTGTCAGATATGTAAATAAGCAGGAATTTGGTGGTATGTATACGAATGCCCTGAATATTAGATAAAGTTGCACAAAAAGTTTCTACAAAAATAATTTTTACAGCTCAATCAATGCTCAATAGAAATGGAGGATGATGAGTCTTAAATCCAAACCAAAAAAATTGTGATCATGTTGACAAACTAAAAAAAATTGTGATCATGTTGATAATGATAAAGATAAATTATTTTGTGAATACCGTCATAGAGCGACTCAGATTTTCACAGTCACCACATCCCATAAATTTTGCAGGCTCTTTTGCACCTTTTCTTCTCTTTTTTACCTGAGCAAGGTATACATATGTAGAAAACCACATTTTACTAAATTTAATCTCACGTATTAAAGTATCATAAAAAATAATTAAACCCAGCAATCTGGTCCAGGAATCTTTAACAATAATCATATACCAGATAAAGCTCGAAACTATTATAAAATAATTTCTAACAGAACAAAATAAAGTACCTTAAGATTGACAGTGCGTGCAACCACACCACATTCTCGAAGGCGGGAAGCTACCTCCTTCGAAAGGTTGTCAAGAAAATGTTCACACTAAAATAGCAGTATAAAAAGTAGTTTATAAAAATTGTTGGATAACAATAAATTATTCTTATATTCAAACAGATACCCACATCCATGGTGTTACGAAATCTAACCCCCCAGTTCACCTCAGCACCAATAGATTTTGTTTCCTGTGAAATAAGTCAAATATAAATGAATAAAAACTAAATTAAAAAAAATGAACGTGATTAAAAGAAATTGCATGCAGTAAGACCAAGAACAAATCTATCACACAATCCAAACAGGAACATATCCCCCTAACAAACAAGTTTCTCAGAAAAAGAACATCCTTCAAATGAAATAATCAGCAGATTTAACAGCATAATATGGAGACCCCTTGATCATTTTTGAATTTAAGAATCGAGAAAATAAATAAATAAATATTATCATCATCATCAGTAGGTTAATTTCTATCGCTTGAAGTAGACTTTTTATAAATCTTTACTTCTCGTTTGCCCTCACTGAGTCTTGCATGGCATTAACCTATTTTGCTTGAATATTTTTTTGTACAATTTCTATCAATGCAATCGTTGGTCTGCCCTTTTTCTCATGGTTTAACAAAAAATTGAATCCACATCTTATCAATATATCTTCTAGAATTTGACCCTTAATTGAGCATGCATAAACCATTTCTTCACAGCCCTAAAATAACTCTCCCTAAGCCTATTCTTATTAATTCAGCCACACCCTCAAAAAAAATTTAAAAAAATAAAATAAAATTCTGCCTCGCATATGCTGGATATTAATTACTGGTTTAAAAAGCAATAAGTTCGCTTATGTCCAAATGTTTCAATTGGAAGACAATACCTGCACATGCAGCCACAGAAACACAAGTAAGAGATATCACATACTACAGAGCGGTCAAGCTAAATTTCATGCCGTGAAGTGCCCACATAGTATGTAAAGTTATTTACAAAGATAGAATGAGCATAAACTGCTTGGCATCGAGGATGTCAGAAGCATGAAGGTTCCCAAGGCATGCAATACAACTTGACGAGACCAACACATGAATCAAATTTAAGGTTCATAACATTTTCATCATTATAATGCAGCAAAATGAATATTTAAGAATTTGTTGGCATCTTTTGGCCTTCAGGTCATCAGAACAATGAAGAGCCAAATCTGTAAATTGTAAAGTGTAGGAAGTAGAAAGCCAAAAAACGTTTCCAGGAAATCAAAGAAAATAAAGGAAAATTTTGTATGCTCTGCATCTACCTTTACCAGAAAACAATATATAGCCAAGGATCACAGATTCGCCGCTTCTCACAAATCTTGCACGACCTTTTATACCTTCTTATAATAAATAGCTATCTGTGCCTACAGTTAATAATACAATGGATGTACAAAAGATTTTACTTTTTTTATATAAATTAAAAATATGCCTACAGTTAATAATACAATGGATGTATAAAAGATTTTACTTTTTTTATATAAATTAAAAATATTGCCACCAGGAAAATGTGGGGGCAATGAATTGTTACAACCACTAAATTATTTTGCTATTTCAGATAAATGTCAAGAGAAGAAAAAAAAATTTAAAATCATGATTTCCAGAACAAAAGAAACACAGTCAACTAAGTTTAAAGCTCCATTACAAACCTTTAGAACTTCAACTTTCCGATCATCAATTCCTCTGCAGTATTTCCAAAGCATATCACCAACTTTTACCCCAAAGTCCTTATGAAGAGCTTCCTACAGGAATGAAGGATAAGGTATCATCACCATTAGATAAATGAAAAAAATTGTTAATGCTGAAATTACCGCAGAACCTGAATTTGTAATCATACGACTAAAAAAAGGCTAAACAATGCATTCATGCCCAGCAAATACTAAAACATGAAGTGCAGTATTTAGTCCGCAACACATTGTTTACAAAATTTATCAAGAATAGTGCATATACACACACACATGCTAAACACGGATAACAACTTTAAGATTACAGATTGTGAGTTCCCTAAATACTTGTTTCCTAGGAAACATTCACACCAGTGTACTTCCAACATCCGAAACTTTCATGCTAGAGTTCTTTTTTTTTCAATGCCAAAGTTCAACTTGAATTATCAGAATATTGTACCAAACCAAGGCTCAAAAGCTAATGAGCATATGATAGGGAATTGCATCATATTTCATCTTATCAATAAATTCACAAGTACATCATTTCAAGCCAGAGCCTTAACTTTCACTTGATAAAGCACTGTAAACATTCACAACTGTCTACAAACTTTAGGTGATGATAGAAATGAAAAGGTTTCAAGAACATAATTTTTTTAGCTAATTTTATCTTAATCTCAACACAAATTGCAAGATGGTGTGTGCTTCTAGTTATAGCAATCTTAGTAATATTTATTTTTCCATTTAACCCATTAACAAGATTGTGCGTCACCATGTAACTAATGTCAATCTCAAATTCTGCTAATATGTACCAAAAATTTTACAGAGTAAGCAAATCTTGTCAGAATAAATACCACATTTCAGGTAATTATTTGTAAACCTACTCAAATAATTCAATGTCATTATCCTATCTGTTTTGTCTAAGTTTGACAACTCTGAACATGATGCCATTACAGTGCGCTTTGTCAGTCTTTCTTTACAAAAATAATCATAATAATAATAATAATAAGATCAAATTATTGATATGGATTAACAATTAAAAAAAAATCATTGGCACCTTTTTACAGTATAGAGGCAAAAATTTATGCTGCTAATAATTTTTCTAAGATTTTGGCTCCCTCACCGTTAATGTGTACTTACATATTCAGCAATCCTTGATGTTGGCTATAGAATTACCTTCAACCATGATAAAAACTCTTCTTGGTTAAATTCTTAAGAACTATTTTGTTGGGTTACTTAAATATTCAGCATCCTTATTCGTTAAATGATGTTTGGTTCATGAAATTTCAGAGGAATTTACTCTAAAATCACAAGAAGAGTGATATTATACGCAATTATGCAAGATCAACTTCATATTATCTATCTCCAGAAACTAAACTAATGCATCCCTTATTCTCAAATCTAATGGAGATTTTGAAACTGACAATTGAAAAATTCACGATGATAATGGATGGAACGTTGGTTGTATTATTTATGGGAGAAACTATAACTACTTGGATATTCCAAACTTCTCCATTCACACTTAGTTAATTGCTATTCTCCTCAATTCTCATTTACAGTTTGTTCAAAATATTATTTATGATCCTTGCAAGCCAAGAGATAAATCTAGCTTCAAGGATAGAGTTACTACTGCTCAGTTTAAAAACGCCTTCTAATTGGATCCTTCGTAGATATTTTAATGAGAATCTTTACACAAATGGGAGAACTTATGGTATAGTTCCAAGATCCCACAAATATTTTCATAGAAATTATTCGCAAATTTAATAAAATTGATCTCCCAATGTTGAATAAGTTTTTTTGGTCTAAGAATGAAGAAAATGAAACATTTGCTAAAACTTATCAATTTTTCATTTCTACTAATTAATGATAACTTTCCAAATTGGTATAATAAAATCTTCTTTAAACGCACTAATTTTCAGCTTATAAGTCCAATATGCAAAATTTTCATTCGTTTCTCTGAAAATCAACAGTTTTGTACAAATGGTTATAAAATATGCTCTCAAATGCAAGAAAAAGCATTAATGAACAAAATCAGGGTGCCAAACAGACAGATTGGAAAGCTCAACCTCGCAAAAAAAAAATGGAAAAAAACAAAACATATCTCTAATCTAAACCTGAAAATTTTAAGGTCATACAGATGCATGATAAAATTGAAGCCTTAGTAGAAAATACATATGAAAAGGAAAAAATGGCTCTATGATAAAATCAACAAGAAAAAAAATTATTAGCATCTCCATGGAAAAATGGTATATCAATGAGAACAATGATTCTTTTTTTTTCTTCAAAATGTTCTAAATGGTAGAATGAAAAAATTTTCATTCACTCAGTTACTTGTAATACCACAATTTTTCATTAGAAAGACGATCTTATTCATGTGTTTCCCATTTTATAAAGATATTTTCAGCAAACATTTCTCTCCTATTACTTTTCTTGATTTTCCAAGTTTTACCCACATGATAATCCATCTCTTACTAAGACTAGAGAAACTTTAAAAAATAATGACAAGAAGCTCCTTTTACATAGATGAAGTCCAATGCGTAGTCTTCCATTTTTGAGCTAGAAAATTGATACGAGATAAATTTACATGATTTCTCTCCTTTAAACATCATATTTTCCTCTTTATTATCATAATTTTATGCTTATGAAATATTTTGGTGGTATTTTACAGATTCCAAAGGTACTCAACACTTCGCAGAGCCAAAACACTAAATTGCCCAACTTAGAGGGTCAGTGTACAACCCTTGGCGTAATTACGTTGGGTCCTCTATTGAGACGGCGTAATTACTCCATGTCCTAGCGTAACTACACTTGTTGCAGATGTGATTACGCTAGCTACAACCTAAGCTTGAATTGGCAAGTTTTTCATGGAATTTTTGGCAAGAGCTATATAGAAAGAATTAGGGCATGACCTAAGGCACTCTTGGACATTGTGGAGGATGCTTCTCTACATATTTTAATAGACTTTGTCACCACCAGCGTTTTCACCAATGACTTTCCTTGAGGAAGATTACTACGGTTGTTTATTTTAAGTTTGGAGATGTGAACAGAGATTGAGTGTAATGGTATAAAGGAGACCTATAAAAAGTGTGTAACGTAGAGGATCAATGTGAATTGCAAGGAGAGATTAAATGGTATAAAGGAGACCTATAAAAAGTGTGTATTGAACGTAGAGGATCAATGTGAATTGCAAGGAGAGATTGGTTAGGGTTTAAATTTTTTATACTTATTGCATTGTTTCTTTTTTATACTCGCAATAACAGTTTTCATTTTTTTTTTCTAATGCACTGTAGTTAATATCATTCTCATAAACTTGTGATGTAAAGTAAGTGAATTTCTCGTTCTTTTATACCATGTATTTCATTCCATAGACGCATTTTTATGCTTGGAATTCCAATATTGATGTGTTAACTTTTCAGTCTTAATTTATTTCTAATCTGACTATATTGAAAGTTAAAATCTTTTATGATCTAGGAACTATAATTGTCGTCTAGAAAATAAGTATGTTAACACATAATAACCCAATGAAATAGACAATGTTATTAGTAATGTGTAACTTTGATAGGGGACTAGAGGATTCCTGGAAAACATTGTATAGTTAATTCCCCTTGGCAGTAATATATTTCGAAATCTTCTTGTGATTTAAATATAAGCTAAGGAGAATTTTGTACCTGGTTGTCAAAAAAGGCGTGGGTTTCATAGAAAAAATTTTGAGAATACACTTGACCGGTGTCATAGGAGTATGAATTTTTCATCCCTGAAAAACTTCACAAAAAACTAGTTTACTTTTCTTCTTTTTGCATTAGGATTTTAGAACTTTCATATATGCAAACTGAACTTTCAAATAAGGCTTGGCGATTTAGTAAACATGAACTTCTCATGTTAAAAATATTTTAATAATTTTCCTCGTGGGATCATTACACATACTTTATCTATATATTACTTGATCAACATGGATATTTACGCGATTGACCATTTTGCCTCAGATTTTGGACATCAAGTTTTTTGTGTCGTTAACAGGGAAACGAGTTTTTTTTTTTTAAGGTGAATTTTAGTTGAAACACATAAAGTTTAGATTGAAATTATTTCCCGTTTTTATTTGCTTTTTTTTTTTAATTTAACTCTATTCTTGCTTTTAAGAAAATACGAAAATCCAAAAAAGAATCATTTGCATATAAATTTCAGCTCCGATGACAGCATCTTTTATATTCAGGTGTTGTGTTATCCCTTTGTGAAAATACGAAAATCCAAAAAAAAATCATTTGCATATAAATTTCAGCTCCGATGACAACATCTTTTATATTCAGGTGTTGTGTTATCCCTTTGTTTTTTTTCCTCTTTTACCTGTTATTTTTTTTTCATATTTCCTATTTTAGAATAGGGTTACCGTTCACACTTATTACTGCATACATACGAATAATTAAGACGAACTATTGTCATTTACCTTGAAGTTGAAAAAAAAAAACTTGAAAAAACTTTGAAAATTTTAAAAACTTAAAAAGATGCACTTAGAGATGGCAAAACCTCAAGAAGATTACATGAAACCTCTTAAAAGAGTATGTAATTCCATTAATAACAAGAATTCACAAGAATTTTGAATACTCAACCATAGAAGCACTGCATTTGAATTTAAATAAAATTTATCTTGATGATTCAAACCAACTAATTTATGGGATCACCACAGAATATCCATACCTTTATTAGGCTAGTTTCTTAGAATTGTGTCACTTTTAAGTTTAGTAGTGTGTCCAACGATGACGTTAGATTAAGATTATCCTCTTTCTCACTTCAAAATAAAACAAATAGGTGGTTATACTCTGAGCACAAGGATCGATCACTATTTAGAGCAACCTAACCCAAAATTTTTTTGCCCAAAAATTTCCTCCCTTCAAGATTGTCAAACATAGGAAGGACATCATGTCTTTCACCCAATTATATGGTGATAACAATTACAAAGCTTGGGGGAGGTTAAAATAACTATTTAGAGAGTGCCAACACAATGTCCTACCTAATTGGTTGATAATCGAAACATTTTACAATGAGTTTGTGATAGATGCTACAGTTGGGGCTCCAATTATACCAAG